AGAAATAAAAAATAAATAAAAAGAAATGAATGAAAATAATTTAAGTAATAATAAAAACTACAAAATTCTGACAATATTTTAGTAAATTAATAAATTAAAATACTTTCAGACTAATGCATATTTCTTAGTTTTAACAATTTCTATTGATGTAAAAAAATTCGAGATAAAAATACCTAGGTAAACTGTAATGGCAGACTACAAAAAAATTATTACAATTACTTTTACTAATAAAAAATTACCTACGAAATAAAATGCCTTGGTAATTTATTCCAAAAGATACAGTACACATGAGTAAAACAGGTAACGGTTTTGATTTTAAGTAAAAAGGATCTGTAATACATATAATTTATTTAGTTTTGGAGTTTGATTACGGCGTACCTAAATATTTCGTGCTCTCAAAAGCACGAATTCACCTAACATACTTACTAATCTTAGTACGAAATATTTTTCTACCGTTTTTCTATATTACGATTATGAAATGGCAAAATCTATGCATAATGAAAACATGGATTGTTGTTACGTAACTTCGGTAATAGAAAATACACAAAAATATATTTCTTGGTCTGAACCACAATAATAATAATAATTACTTCACAAATCTCAAACACGGTCTGATTCCAAACTAGACAGAGCCTGTGCTATGGTAACTGCTGATAAACATACTTATATATTTCTTAATACATACATATATAAATTAGACCCAGACACAGAACAAATCATCGTGCTCATAACACAATTATTTGTCCTGGGTGGGAATCGAACCCACAACCTCCGACTTAGCAGTCAGCGTCACTAACCACTAGACCAACAGGCCCGTCAAACCAATACTCGGTTTGTTCTTTTTAAAGAATAGGTGTATGTCAATACTAAAACTTTATTTTTCAAACAGCAGTACAGGACAAATTTGACAGGACAACATTACGAGGTTAAGATACCTTTATGCTATATAAACAAAAACATTTAAGTTCCAGGGCATTTGTGTTTTTTTAAAGATGATTACTGATCATTAAACGTAACTAATGAATTACTTTGAAATAATCTTTTTGTGTTGAAACAAGAACTTGTTCAATACTTTTGCAACGCATTTTCGCGGTTAATTTTGACATAATACTGATTTGTGTTTTAAGGAGGTTTAAATCCTTTTAGGTAACTATGTTTCATGAAATGAAACTCTACTTTTTGTTTCACGGAGGTGCTATTTTGCACTGAAGTATAAAATGAAATTAAACTTACGTCGAGACTAAATTAGGGCAATCGAAGTAGTAAATGACAAAATGATGTATGTATCAAAAATATACAGTGACTACAATATCTTGTATTTTTTTTAAATATAATACTTGCTACCATAGTTAAAAATCTTTTAAATTTCAAAGTTCAACAAACAACAACAATAACACAGGCCAACAAAATTATTCTCAAGAAACAAGAGTATACTTTTTAGTAGGTAAATGCGTTTTTTGCACTTCAAGACAATCTCAAAAACCTGACGTGATAGAGCAATTCTGCGGCTGAATTTAGATTCAGCTCAATAAAATCCTTCGGGAAAGTATACCCTGGTTTCTGGATAAGAAACTTTGTCAAATTTTGTTGGCCTGTGTAATTAAAGCGTTATATAATGCTATAATAAATATCACCCTTTTTTAATTTTGCGATATCGATATCTACCGATTTGTTTCAGATAACGATAGCGTTGTTAAGAAATTACAAACTATTTCGCTATATGTATTATGAAATTTGATAAATTTAATAAATTACATTCAGGAAATGTATTTTGTCGATAAACGGATTTTAATCATCTATATTATTGATACATAATGTTATTATAAATGCTTCGATAACTAATTATTCTACTTACGACGAATACGGTTACAATAACTATTTTTTTAAATAAATATTTAAAAGCTTCGACGTATAACAATATATCACATAAATAATACTTCAATTATATAATCCAGAACAAAAAAATATCCAGAGAAATATAAGATGAAGAACTGAATTTTACTATAAATACTTGATATTATTATAAATGCTTGATATTATTTTGAACCACAATCATCGATGTTCTAGAGATTTTCTATCTTTTAAATAACAAGTTAAGTAATTACTACGGTACAGACTCTAAAATAGTTAAGTCTTTTGTATGTTATTATTCTACTTAACGAATGAGCGAATAATAACATACACAGATTCTATAGCCGCAAGTTGCCAAAAATACCAAAAACCATAACATTTATTTTAATACGGCTGTGACTCAGCAGAGCATGAAATCTCTAATAACAATACCAGTAGCAGTAACTTCAATAATTTACGAGTTCAAACAATTTTATTTTAAATCGACATAGAACTAAGGTTATGAGGAACCTTTATGGGGAGGAAATGGCGGGAGAAGATTGACTTACATTATAATATTTTATGTTTATATTCTATCACAAATAGACTTTTTTTACTGCAATATTGAGATCGATTCTTCGATTACAACTACTATTCAAGGGGCAGACAGCGGGCGGGGCGGCACGAAGATGAGAACTAGTTGTAATGTATAGTTAGTATATTGTAACACAGCACCATGGCACTTGGCGCTCGGCGTTGTTGAATTTCAACTGTTCGAATTCCCGCCCCGCCCGCTGTCTGTCCTCGCCTTAAAGTAACGTCCAATAGCTGATGTAATGGTGCCATACCAAGAATAAATAAGTATCTAATTCCGTTTTTCGTTTTTTTGGTTTTATTATACCTCTAATAAGGCAGCCTTTTTTTGAATAGCAAGATATATTGACTAACTAAATTAGACGTTTTCATGGTTTTAGTGTTCTAATTGACGATATTTCTTTCAATACTCACTAAAGAAAATTCAATCACTACTAAGAAACATTTCGAGAGAAGAAACCATCAGAAACTAAAACTTTTATTCAAACATAAAATTGACCTAGTTCTGGAGACTATCACTATTGAATAAGGTTAGCTACGAAACGTAAATAAATCACAATAGCTAATTAAACAAAGAAATAAAAACTGTCACCTTGACATCCATAATCGTGGTCTTAATCTGGCGCTGCAAATTATTTCTCCATATTAGTATCTAGTTGAGGTTCTACTTTTTTAGAATTTTAAAACGAAGTTCCTTCCACTTTTTTGTAGACGTTTACTATATTTATGAAAAAGATGTGAGCGTCGACGCGCTAACTGAAGTGTCGGAAAAAGGTCTTGTTACACACTTTTCGGTCTCGCTCCCATCCGCTTACAGCGTGTAACGTTCGTTAATATGTATGAAAACATAGGCAAGCTTAAATTGATTTAAAATTGAAATGCTGAGGCAATACAATTATTTAAATTCAAGAATGAAATATTAAAATTTTTGAAAACGGTAATTACGACTCCATATCTTTTAATATGGGTCTTGTTCTAATGAAGTGGTGTGAGGGAGATCGCGTTATATTACACTACGCGTGCGCGAGGAGATGACGTGCGTGGATTACGCAGTTAAAAATAATATAATAGTTTAATAACGAACAAAAATAGTTTAATAACGAACAATTTGGACATGAAAAACAACAAAGCGCGTACTTGTGCGTGTGCATACTTCAATTTAAGCCGAGTTGAATTGGCGCCGTTTTTCGATCGCTGATCACGATCAGCGAACTTCGATCAAATCAACTATAGATCCACGGATCTATAGTTGATTTGATCGAAGTTTGTCTGCATTAACTAACATCCGCTTATTAACAATTAAACTGTTATGTAAGAAAAGTACAATAGACTGGCTAGACAGGAGCAAGAAAAGCATAATTAATATTGTGTATAATTATAGATATTTATGTATGAATGGCTACATGAAGCCTAATACAATTTCAGAGTATATGTTACTCTAACTTGATAACGTAAGTTTTGACGTCAATAATTACAAGACTAGTAGGTATCTTTTTTTTACTTTATTTTATAGTCAGTTGTACAATATGTTTACTATAAGTGGAAATAAATAACGGTAATACACAACGAACTTAATTATCCACGTTTTACAAACTGAGTTCAATACACCGGTGATTTTGCTGTGCAAGTCTTAATTTAAATTGGTATAGTTCTTAATACATTAACATTGGTACGCTTTAATTTAACGGTGGACAGTGCGAAGACGTCATCAACTAGGTCTTCGGACAGGGCCTCTCGTTACTTGCCGAAGCATCGGCATTCGGCGATATCAAACCATATCTAGTCATGGCTTTAGCAAGCGTTTCTTTATTTATTAAACCGTCATGCATGCGTCACTCAATTTTTAAAGTGATGGTTGCCTTATCATGCAACCGCCAATCGCTGTGTTTGACTGTTTAGTTGTAAACATAGAGGCAGTCAATTTTAATTGTGGTTGAACTGACAATAAACCTTACTTGCTTGTTTCTATCTACCTACTTAATGTAAAGGTTTAAAGTAGACTTGCAACGAATAGTATATTCGGCAGTATACCGAATACCGAATATTCGGCGAGGCCCCTGACCGAATAGCCGAATATTAGGCAAAAGTATCCGGCTGGATTTTAGCGCCAAAAACTTGTACAGACGTGAATTAAATTATGTACCTGTTTTATGTACCCAATGACTACTTAATAAATGATTATAAAAGAAATGAGAACCTTACCCTTCTAAATTTTGATTACCACAATAATTCAAGTACATAGAATCCTCCATTTTTCCAATTCAGAAGATGATTATGTACCTGTGTTATGCACCAATGACTACTTAAATGATTATAACAGAAATAAAAATATGAATATATACGTAATCAATCGATTTTAATTTTTCATTTTACCAATTATTTCTCAATGACAAAATATATTATTTAAGTATTCGGTATTCGGCCGAATAATATGTAGATATTCGGTATTCGGTCGAATATAATAAAAGCAGCCGAATAGGCCGAATACTGAATAGTAACCGAATATTCGTTGCAAGTCTAGTTTAAAGTTTTCTGATACGACGTTTTAAAATATCTTTAATACATATTCAACTTACCATTTTTCGCCTGGTGCCAATGATCCAATTTTAAATTTATTTAGTTGTTTTCTGAAACATAAAAAAAAAACAATATTAAAGGAAACGTAATATACACTTAGTACGAAGACAGGTTTGTACAAACCACAAAAAAATCGAGACAGATTTAATTCCAATTTATTTCTTTTGAATAGGCGGCAATCAACAGACGCGTCACCTGAGTGCCTAGTGTGAGTTTATTTCACATCAACTCGATCGTTCTTTTGGCGTTGCGATTACCCAGCACCGAAATCTTCACCAATCACAACGCTAAACGTGCGTTGTGATTGGTGAAGATTTGGTGAAGAATTTGAGAAGAAGAAGAAGATTTTGAGAAGGTGTCGAGAGCGAGTTGATGTGTAATAAACTCGCACTTGGCCCTCAGATGCTAAGTGACTACAAATGAAACTGCTTGCCACGGCATGCTGCGGCGTCCCACGAGATGCCACAACATGGCACAATATAATTGTACATGATGTTTGAACAGCTAGCGGCGGCCCTGCACTGCCTTAGTGGTGCAGTACGACACGTGAGACCTCGGGTTCAATTCCCGGATCGGGCAAAATTTTATAGGGTTTTTCTGAGAACATAAATACTTTTTTTAAGTTGAACCGACATCTAACAATACTAACAAAGAACACTAAAAACCTAGCAGTAATCGCGGTTGATTGGCTGTCATTTTTTTAAGAGTTCCATTGTCTTTTCCAAAACTCATCATCAGATCTATATGAAATTTAACTGTAAACCCATTTAAATTTCGGAATAAACCCCTTTCAAACAAAAAAAGAATTTTGAAAATCCGTCCATATTTGAGATTTCATTGAGATAGATACATGAAAAAAACATCTGAATTGACAACCTCCTCCTACCTCGTAGTAAAATATTATCGAAATCGATAAAGCCGTTTCAAAGATTACAGTTACCTCGTAGTAACATATTATCAAAATCGATAAAGCCGTTTCAAAGATTACCCGGAACAAACAGACAGACAAACATTTTTTTTTTAACTGGTTTACAGGCATAGGCACAGTGCAAATAACCGTGTGAGCATGAAACAAACATCCTATTTTGACATTACATACAAACAGACACTTTAATTTTATTTATTTGTATGGATTAAAATAGTGTTGAGTAAATGATTGATGAATGATGATTGTGAAGCAAAAAAGGCCTTATAAATACATTATATCTATCGGTTTCAGTTTCTTTCTTTCTTTTTTTCTTTCTTAAAAAAGACAACTCCCGCGTTAGGAATATATCCTGTGTCGCGGGGGACTTTACAAACATACATGAAACGGACACAAAGAACACCCAGACTCAGAACAACAATTTGTGGATCACACAAAGTGTCGTTTCTGAAAATAGATCGTCAAATATCTAATTATTATTGGAGATACTATGAATATTTTTTATCAGCATTGCACTGCCCAACTTGTTAATGATTATTTTTAACAACAATGATATAAAAGGTTATCAATGACTCAACAACAGATTTAATAGCGTAATATCTAGAAGTCTAAATTACACCTCAAAGATGGAGAAAATATTACAAATGTGACGAATTCTAATATTATTACTGCATTGTTGGTTACCCATGCACTCCGTAACTACTCGGCTAATCATCTAGAAATTTTGAGTACACAATACTTTTATAGAAACTAGTGATCGAAGGTGATCAGGTGATCCAGCAGAGAACCAATGTCATCAACATAGCCTACCGAATTAGCAAGCTGAAGTGGCAGTGAGCTGGCCATATTAGCCGCAGAACCGACAACCGTTGGGGTAAACGAGTTTTTGAGTGGCGACCACATCTGGCTTCCTAGGAGTGTCGATCTGCGCAGGATGGTCGGCAGGAGCTGAATGCGAGAAGCCGAAAATCGATCTAAGTGGCGTGCAATGGGAGAGGCTTTTATCCAGCAGTGGACTGCGATAGGCTGATAAAGAAGAATTATCGAAGGAATACCCGATTTTTTTTTAAGATATAGAGGGCAAACGAGCAGGCGAATCACCTCATGTTAAGTGACTACCGCCGCCCTGGACACCTGGAACTCAACAGTTACAAGTGCGTTGCGGCACTTTTGAGTCCCCCCTGCAGGATTAGTTTGGACTCTGGTAATCTCACTCAATCGGTGAATAGCAACGAAAGAACTGAGGCCTAAGTGTAAGTTTATTTTACATTAACTCGCCTTCGACAGCGAGCGCGTTTAGCGTTGCGATTGGTGAAGATTTCGATGTGAGTGTTGAGGTGAAATATACTCGCACTTGGCCCTCTGAAGGCCTAGTGCAAGTTTATTTCACAAGGAAGAGGAGCCTCGATAGCGAGCGCGTTTGGCGTCGCAATTGGTAAAGATGTAAGTGCGGACCGAGGGGCGAGTGCAAGTTTATTTCACATCGACTCGCTCTCGACGGCGAGCGCGTTTAGCGTTGCGATTGGTGAAGATTTCAGTGCGCCGATTTCTTAACGCCGCGCCGAACGCGATCACCATGACGATCGAGTAGATGTGAAATAAACTTGCACGTGGGCCTCTGCTTAGGACCGGTTTTCTGTGAGGCAGTGTGGTATCACTACGAACGAGCCAGCCCATTTGTGCTGAAGCATGGCTCTCCCGTTGATATTTCCATACTAACAATCTTGGACAATAAATTATATTTAATTATGCATTATTGCGTGTGAAGCATGCGGACTTATCATCATTCTATTAAAAACTTCTCTGGTAAACGACCTATGAGGCTATCTAGTATTGAAACATTTTTTTCAATATGACTGTTAAATTTTAGTGTTACTTTTAATTCGTATGAACGAATAATAAAGTCATATAGGAAGTTTAAAAAAAACTGTTAAAGCTCAACACGTATTTGTATGTGTTAAGTTGACCGTAAAACAGATGACGCAATCGATAAAATGTATTTGATAGTTACAACAATATACAAAAAAGAGGGCGAGGTTTGTACACACCACAGAACAGTGAATTCATTGTTGTGTGGTACACACGTATTATTATCTAGGTACCACCTTGAAAACCTAAATACATATCTTACTAATGTGATAAAGGCGAAAGTTTGTATGGATGTTTTTCTTTCACGCAAAAACGACTAAACGGAACTGGATGAAATTTGGCACAGAGATAGATTATAGTCTAGAATGGCACATAGGTTACTTTAATCCCGAAAAAAATGTAGTGTTGCCGTGGGGTAAGTAAGATACATAGAGCAACACAAGCCCCGTGTTGCTCTATGGCAATGTACAGCAACAACGCGGGGCGCAGCTAGTAGTTTAGTAAAACGAAGAAAGAAAGGAGCTATGCTAGAAATTACATTGCGCGACCGAAACTAAACAAGTGGATTAATCAGTGGACCCGTGAGGGTTGTGGTAGAAACCGCACATATCGCCGAAATGCACAAAGATGATGGGCAAGGAGGGTACTGGAATAGAAACCATGGTCCAACACCAAGGGGCCGCCCAATAAAACGATGGGTTGTCGACATATGGGGACAGGCAGAACCTGACTGGATGACCAAGGTCTTAGGCAGAAAGGCTTGAAAGATTCTTGAAGGGGCCTATTTACAAAAGTAATAATAGCTTCACACATCTCACATAAAGCAGTGATGAACTCAAACTAGGCAGAGCCTGTTTGGTAACCAGAGTGCTGATAAACATACTTATATATTTTTAAATACATATTATAGATAAATTACACCGACACAGAACAAATGATCGTGCTCATCACACAATATTTGTCCTGGGTGGGAATCGAACCCACGACCTCCGGCTTAGCAATTAGGGTCAATAATCACCAGACCAACAGGCTCGTCAAGTTTACCGGAAACGGCTACCTAAGGAATGAATAGGGGTGGTGACACTCCGTATTCTTAATCCTTCACCACACGGATATTTTCAGGTTACTTTTGATAATGTTAATAAAAAAATACTGCCAAAAGTTGCTACACGTGTCTAGTATATATGTTCCTGTCATGGTTCGTAGAATCTAACAATTACAGTTCAACTTATATTTGAAATGAATTTATTTTAAAAATCCCCAATTTACAAAACCAATAAACTGTATATTGTATTGTTATTATTATATAATTCTGTGTATCTGTAATCGATAAGGATAAACTTATTCAACACTGGTGTGGGCAGCCCTGTATGGGATTTCCCTACGGTTACTAATTTTGGAATCAATCAGACGTATTGCCTTTGTAACAAACTCTGGATGGAACAGGAAAATGAATTATTTTACTTATTATGGGTAATTCGCTACCAGTATTGTGATTGCACGATCGACAACGAGAGATAATAAATATATCACTAAGATAACAAGGCCAAATATGAATTAACCGCTTAGCGAGCTCATTTTACGTAACACAGGTATGCGAATGCAACCCTGAACTGCTAAAAATATTTTTTACACTCACTAACACACGAATGCATTCATGTAAACAGTATATTTCTAGTGTTACCTATCTCTCATTTCAAAATACTCTCAATTTTCCACACTTATTTCACATCAGCAACCGGTTAAGGGCAATATGCTTTTACCCGTGCACTTACGTTAGTAAGTTTGACTAAAGTTATAGCTGGCAAAATAAGGGCGTACCTACCACATAAATGATAAATGATATTTATTTCTGTAAGTAAATCTTTTCAGATTATTTTACAAGTAGGACTTTACAGCTAAAAGGAGCCGGTATTTCCTAAGACTCACTCTGGGAAGAAACGCCGAAACAAACCACAGAGGTGTCTTTTTTTTAGTCCGTAAACAAAGTTAAATAAAACTGTGCGAGTACAGTATAGGGTCTGGGTAGGCCTTTTAAAGAAAGGACCATAGTTTTGAGTCGGCCTGTTCATGCAGACGGCATACAGGCCCCAACCATCGTGTAGCCTAACCGATATTGGTCAAAATCAACGACCCGAAGCATGACCCTACCGCCAGCAGGACATTTGGGTAGGCCGTGGAAACGCTCAAAACCACCAGAAAGTTACTAAAATATGAATCAACATTACAAGCCTACACTATACTCACATTTACATACTTACACAAAAAAAAAACTATACAATTAAAATTCAACGAAAAATAAAAAAATTAAAACAAACAAAATACGAAATACACCAAAAAAAAAAAAATTAATGTCCATCACTTTCAAACTTAACAACAAAGATGATGACGAATGAAGATGGGAACGTAACATAGACGTGATGTACGAGTATATGTAAATAATTTTGCAAATGGATAAGCGTGCCCAAACACGAAGCATTAATGATGATGATGATGATAAATCAATTTATAAACTAAACAAACTTGGCATATGCGCTGTGTCCGACCTCTTCAAATGCTGTGGTGGCGTCCATTCCTGCCGAGTCTAGTAGAGGTTCCTCACCACCGGGGTGCTGTGAACGAGTACAAAACGTGTTCAGTAAAGACTCAAAGCTAGACTAACATTATGTTTTATTCAGTGTGCGTACATTCCAACTGATGTAGGTAGTAATGTGACGTTATGAAGTCGAAAGGAGGAAAGTTGTCACACATTACAAACATATGTTTTAACTATTAAAATTAAAATAAAACCCTCTTTTTCAATAAGGTCTCATGACTACTTTGATTCGTTATTTAATGTGCTTCTACTGAGGCCTCCAACTGCCAACTACCTGAAAAGAAACCTCAAGAAATACACGCCGGCCTTTTTCATATTTACTTAATGTTGTTACAATCAAAGTAAGACAATATTTGTGAGCAAAAACGAGCAATTCATGGCCAAGCAGCCTCGTCATTTAAAAACCGTTACTATTCAGTGAGCTTTCTAAAACAGCATACATATGGATGTACAGTAACCTGCAAGGAGTTACTTATTTTATGGATCAATTAGTTAATAATACTTCTGCTACCTTAGTCCTGTGAACTTAGTCCTGTTAGTATATCTTAGCTCTAATAGCGATCTTAGTTTTTTATACTTGTTAATAGATTAAAAAACTAAAAAAAATTGTCTGCTAATTCTTAAAATAAAGTTATAAACTCCTCTTGTTTGTTAACATTCAATTGTTGGATAAGTATCTAGGTCTGGATTGGATCTTCTTCTGTAGGGAACAAATAAATAAACCCTAAGTTTTCCTACGGCTAACTAATTAATGCTCAGTATTTTCTCCATCCATAACTTTCGTTAACTTGGCCTAAACTGTGTTCAACCAATTACAGTTTGAGCAATGAAATTACTTAACGGTTTTTATTTGAGAGACGCCGCCGCCTCTCCTTAGAAAGGTTTTGGCCTACTATACCACGATGGCCAGACGGGGTTACAGGGTTTGTTTCAAGTTTGCATAATATGATTCGCTTTTCCGTTTCTACATCACTATGCATTAAGTGATCCTTAAAATTCAAAATCATACTCTTTTCATTAATAAATGTACTTTTGAAACCTAACTGTCATATGCGTTACAGGTAACACTTATGAAACCCACTTTCGCTTCGAGTCGATGTTTGAGGTTGGCAAAGAAAATAGCGACAATTTTTGCGTGAACACCTGATGTTTATTGTTTCACATCAACAGCCTTTAATAGTCCACCGCTGGACATAGGCCTCTCCTGTGAGAGGAGGTTTGGCTTATTATACCACGCTGGCCAGACGAGTGGGTATAATATTTGTGTCAAGTTTTCCTTCTCTTCGCAGTGCTGTTGTCCTGCGTAGTTTGGTCTCTTAGTCACCTCTTACGACACCCCTTGTATAAGTGATGTTTATTTTTTTTTATTTGTATTTATATGTATACAAATATAATGTAATATCTGTACATATTTGTGTTTAATATTTGTTTTACGACTAGACAGCAATGTTTTTAAATCTTAATTCGTACGAACTTTTACGAAACGTATTCGTACATTTACGTCTCATTCACGTCGGGAGTAGGCAGAGACGCTAGAACCCCGTTTGTGATGATCCTGACCCTGACACACATATTCATATTTCATACACAGTCTTTACTCTTCTAGTTATACATTTTTCTTTTTATGTATGTACGTGTTTTGTCGAAAACCATGTCATGTATTTGAATGTTGTAGCTGAAGTAACCAAAGCCACTAAGTCGTATAGATAGTTCAACTCAGTTGTGCGCGCGGCCCTATGTGTGCGTGGGCTTGTAAATATACAACTTTCATTCGTGTGGCAGTGACGCGGCAGTCGGACGACGACTGCCACACGAATGAAAGTTGTATATTTACAAGCCCACGCACACATAGTGCCGCGCGCACATCTGAGTTGAACTATCTATAATATAATGTACCCACTTGTTAACTATACATAAGTAAAATCATACATTATTTATGGCATGAATTACAGCGGACGTCATGTAGATCTATGTCAGAATCAAATTATGTTAATGTATGACTAGCGATACATTATCTCTTTAATTAGGTATTTTTAATCCTTCTTAGTTCCGCTACACTCGCGTAAGTGCAGAAAATGTATATTTATTTACTTTAGAAAACACTTGAAACAACAAGGCGGAGAACAGTTTTTTTTCCTTTTTTTGAAAGACAACTCTCGCACTAGGAATATATCCTGAGTCGCGGGGATTTTACAAACAATTATAAAACGGACCCAAAGAACACCCAGACTCAGAACAATAAGTTGTGAATCACACGAAATATTGGCCCATGTCTGGTTCGTACCCATAACACTCAGCGCAGTGGGATTCGCCGAGGTGACCGCTTAAACTACTTCGCCATCCGTTCAGTCAAATATATATTTATATATATGGTATATGTACGTATTATATGTTTAACATACCTACATTAATTAGTAATAAAATAAATAATTTATGTTCCTACCATTTTTCTTTATTAGCTTGTTTTTTTTTTTTGCATTATATAATAATAAAAATGTTTGTTAAGTTGTTCCTGAAAAACTTTATTTATTATTGTTTTGTTAAAATTACTTTTCAGTCTTCGCCCGAGCAATGTATGTGGAAAAGTGTAATCGTGTCAGGCAACCACAGGACAGGCTTGCCTAGTGTGGGGCCACCGACAATATTGTTAGTAAATACTTAGAAATAAATTATTTTTTATTTAAAAAAAACAATTGTTCTTTTGAACACACTAATTCACCTCGATTTATTGATATCACACTGGCGACAATAATACTATAGGTATAGCCATATGATGATATACACATCACATTTTCAGTAAAAGATATGTGACACTAGAAACAAAGGATAAAAATAGGACTGAACTGAGGACTAGTTAAAATTGTACATTAATAACTGGATGTTTTAAGCAATCTATGATCTCTAACTCCTAAACTAAGACGTGCGTGTGTCTTAGACGTTAGTTTCTTCGTAGGCAGTAGTATATAAAACATAGGTATATGTATTAACTTGACTAAATCTAGGTAGACCTAGATTTAGTTAGGTAATAAAATGTGGGTAAGATTTACATAGCTGCCAACGAATATAATAAACAAATGTCATGTAACCACCATACGCAAACTAAAGCCATTTTTTCAAGTTGATTAGTCTTATTTTGTATTAAGTAGGTTTGTCGTTTGTCGAAGTAATGTTAAGTATAAAGAATGCAACACATGTACGTCAATTTTTTTAAGGTACCTATACCTAAGTGTAGATGTTTTTCCCATTATCCACTAGTTTGAAAAACCTGGCCAACAATACTCCCGTATTGGATGGTGGTTTTTTTTTAAATAACGAGTGGATGTGAAGTCGATTCAATGAACTATAATAATCAAGGAACGAGTGTAACCCCTTCCTCTAAAGCTTTTACACAAAAAAAAAATGGTACAAATTATTTTATTAATTATAGTTTAAAAAAACTGAAGATGCACGCATTAAAAATAAATAATTTCAACTAGTTTTCGCCAACGGTGGTAATAATAACTATCAGTCGTAATAATAACTTTCTAAATGATAGTCTATGTTAATGATGAATGGTTGCAACAATGGTTGAACGGGTTTGCAAAGTTACAAGACAATCGGTTAAATAGTTTAAACGTCAAAGCGTAACAAACAAATGAACAGTATTCCTTGGAATTTCAATTGGCTGCGCCATCAAGGAAAATACTTTTCTCATTTAACGAGGTTCAATATTATACAGGTTTTGCCGTCGCATCAGGACGTTTTAAGGAAAATAATAACTCGTTGTAACTAGTTACGAAATAATATATTCCCCCTTTTGAAACGAGTTTGAATAATTTAGTGGATGACGATTCGTATTCAGAATCCCACATAATATAAAGCATTTCTATCAAATAGCCAGGAGAAGAGTGTCCTCTCCATGACCATCCGCTGACCTCGTGTCTTGCGACCTATACACAAGAGTTCATACGAGTAATCTATACAAATAAATAAAATTGAGGTGTCTGTTTGTTATGTCAATATACTAGGGTTTTTTTTCATGCTCACACGGTTATTTGCACGCTATAAACCTAAAATCCAGTTTTTTTGTCTGTCTGTTCCGGGTAATCTTCTAAACGGCTGGCCCGATTTTGATAATATTTATCTACCAGGAAGCTGTCGATATAAGGAGTAATTTATACTATAAAAAATTTCCCGGTGCGGGAATTGAACTCACTAAGGCAACGCTTTTCAAATTCCACGCGAACAAAGTCGCGGGCACCAGGTAGTACACATAATAGTATGTGTATATTATATTATAGAAGTTTAATATAGAATACAAAGTTTTACATAGAGTATTCTATCTATATAGAAAGGTATCAATTTTAGTTTTAGTAATTTAGTGTTATAGGGGATTTCCTCCATACGAATTGGAAAGTCCTCCTACAACACAGCACAAATTACATATTAGGTATATGCCAAAATTAAGCTCGGAATTCGAATTCCACAAGTCATCTGATGGTAAGTGACTGATAACCAGTTGTGATAGAAGAACATTTATTACGTTCACAACCGTAGTACGAAAAAAGGAATATGGTGGTCTATGGTACTAAAGCTTTTTCGGAAACCGGCTTTTTCGGAAGGCTAGAAGATGTCAAATCTGCGTTCGAGACGATTCGTAATGACTCTCGAGAATAACTTATAGACGTGACTCAGAAGAGAGAAGGGTATATAATTCTTCAACAGGGTGGTACCGCCCTATTTAAAGAGAAGCAAAACCACACCCCTGAACCATGCCTGATTCGGTTTCTTGACGGAATTGAAATATCTTCTGAAGGACTACTAAAAGCGGCTTACCATTCGCTTTCAGGATTCCGTAATTCCGTTTTCACCCGATGCCTTGTTATTCTTAAGCTGTTTGAGAGCCATACTAATCCCTTACAAGCTGACGTCTGGTAAATCTTCGGTATAGTGTCGGGTTAACTTAGGCGTTATATCTTTCGGCAAGTCAGTAACAAGGTCCAGTGTTGCCGTGTATAACTGTTCATAGAATTTCTCACAAGCTCAGATCTCGGCGATAAGAGTCTGCCATCATTGGTCTTCAGTTTCGTCAACTGACTCTCCCCAATAGACAGCTCTGGTGAATATTTTCGTACCTATGCTCTTTTTTTTCTGTTTAGGAATATATCCTGTGTCGCGGGGACTTTATCAACCTACATAAAACGGACACAAAGGATACCCAGACTCAGAACAACAATTTGTGGATCCAACCCACAACACTTAGCGCTGTAAGAAGCGGCGAGGTGGCAGACTAAACCACAACGCCATCGTTTGTACATTCGCTCTATAGCCTCTTTAACACGCATGGTATTATATACATTATATACTTTGAGATCTGTCTATTGAACTGAGGGTAATTTAAATAGCGGCAGTTCAATAGACAGATCTCGTTTCGTCTGGAGACTGCCAATTGCGCAACATGATTTTAAACATTAATGTAAAATACATAACATTGGGTCGAGATTAAAACTATAATGAAATGTTGCCTAACAAGAATCTCCAAGAAGAATAAATTCTTCTATCACAACTGGTTGCGAAACATAGTTGCGATGACAGCGATTTTTTTCTTCATATGCAACTAGTTGCATACCAAGAATAAATGTTCTTCTTTCCCAACTGGTCGCTATGAAAGACTAAAAAAGCCTCGTAGACAACTAGTTGTGAAACACAGTTGCGATGGCGACCGAAAGGAGAAGCAGATGATAGTAAACATACAAAATAATTACGCTTGGGTTAAAGAAAGTTGGAAGGAAAAATAGACCCTATGCTATTTTGTGTCCGATTCCGGAACAATCATAAAAATGGCGGGATTTTTACATACTTCAAAAAAAAATGCTGCGAATTATCGTACGTATTAGTAAACGAATAACATCTATGTTTAAACTACTTATTAACACCACTACAGTGATTGTGCCATGACGTGACTAGGGTAACGACAAATTGGTAATAAAAAAAAAAGTATTTACAAAGTATGTATCGCCTGAGTATAAATGAACTCACGCAACAAAATAATTCCTAGGTGTATATTAATTCACAACAGGAAATATAAATAGGTTACCCAACCAAGACATTATATGGATAAATAAACGTTTGTATATCAGAAAATGAAAAAAAAAAGTTTTTTAACTAGTGTAACAGTCTGAACAATGTATAAAATTTTAGATGTATAGAGAGTAATTCCTCAACATTTCATACAGAATATATACAAAAATACAAAACGATTCATTAGTTATTATTAACATAGAGATAAATCAAATTTTTCTACTTACATCTTCCAAATAACTAGTTACATCGTAGACATTGTTTTTTATAACAATCCAGCAACTTTTTCTATCGTTGTGTGTTGCTACTTCGCTTGATTTATACAATTTAGACATATTGAAAGGTAAAATTAGTGGGTTTGGTTTTCAGATAACTGTTTATAATTTGAAGACCGAAATGAACCGGGTGCAGCTGTGGTGGTTTGTGGATGTGTAAATTGTGTAAAATTTTATGTCCTACGTCCTGTCATTTTGATCCGACTCTGACAAAAGTCAGTCAGATGATATGCTCTTCGGTCAAAGATATTACGTATTGATAATGCAAGTTAAATGTTGTCCGACAATTTCGCAATATTTCTTTTAACTTAAAGTAATTTTAAAATTTTCAATATTCATAGAATATAAATAGTAAACTTCGGAGGTATGTTCATTATGAACATACCTCCGAAGTTTAAAAGAAAAGAATACTTATTTTTTAGTCTAGGTTATATTTTAGTAAGTCTACGTTTTATTATTGCTATTTTAGAAAATGTCAGTTAAAAAGTTGTTGTCATTATTATTAACCTTATTTTAAAGAGGCGTTTTTTAGTTTTTGGTCTAAGTCATCATCGTCATCGTATAAATAATATTATTAGAGGTTGTGTCGGATCTAGCCCAAAAGCCGCCAAGACATAAAGGTGTTTAGAATGTTAAAGGAACATAAAGTTGCCAATGGCTGAAGAAAAGGACTTTAACGATTTATTAGATGATATTTTTCTTAGTGAAGATCGAGAACATAAGGAAAGTTATGAAGAAGGTTTCAAAGCGGGCAGCCAGTTAGGCAACCCTGAAGGTTTCCATCTAGGATACCACCGTGGTGCTGAACTCGGACGTGAGCTAGGTAACACACACATACACTTTGCCCATATGTTAGGTACTATCATACATGCACACTAGTGATGTCTAACGATCTGGTCGTTAGATGTATATTTGCGGATACGGATACGAATACGGGTTTTTATTGTCTAAGTCTAGATCCATGAAAACAGATACTGACCACAAGTTTTCGCATAGTTGATTCCAGGTTTTATCTTATTATTAAGGTAGCTAAGTGGTACCTTGTAGCTTTTAATAATGTTAGTACCTCACTAGATTACATCCTTAAATATTTCATTTTTAGCAAAAATCAATTATGTGACCCATTCCTTATCTGTAATATGTAACTATTTAAAAATATATAAGTATGTTTATCAGCAGTCTGGTTACCATAGTACAGGCTCTGCCTATCAGGCCTCAGGATCAGACAGCCGTGTGTGAGAAGTAGATATATTGTTATTCAAATTGGCCACAAGGTAATGAATATGATATCGGCAAATATGGATTCAGATACAGTTATATTACTAAAATATAAATTACACTGCTCTGGTAAGGCTGGCTTCAAGGCTCTGGGCAGGCAGGTCATTGTGAGGCCCCAGGCTGGTAGATCATTGCTAGGCCCTGGTCTTTGTGCAATGAAACATGTACTGCTGCTCAAACACAATCTGAGGGCAGTTGACACTGGAAGCTTGTGAGATGTGAAGCTCAAATAAATAATTGTTTATGTGGATTGTTATATGAGGCCCTGAGCCGTGGCCCTGTTTGTCACATAACTCTAATTTGTTTTACCAAATGTGCTTAAAGAGACAACATATAAACAATTCAGATCATGATATTTTTTATAATAATTCTGTCCAGGCTACTACCTAGGCGTGATAACGCACCATATCAATCTTAATCAAGAATCGGATGAAAAATATTCTGCTAAAATATTGACACAGTTGACTAGAGTTAAAGAACTCATAGATGTATTTCCACGTATAAACTCAGAGGACCATGATATACTGGGTATGGCTGAGACTGTGAGAGCACAATATAGAAAGGCTTGTGCTCTATTGAAGATACCATCGGTTAACCCTTATGATGCAGGAGTTTCATTCTAATTATTCTGGTTAGTAATGTTTAAGTCTTAAATCACATAAAATTCTATAGGTATTGTATACTTATTTTACTGTTCCATTAGTGCATAGATTAATTGATCTATGAGATTCTTCTTATTTGTATGTTCATCACATCACATCACATCCACAGCATTTAATAGTCCACTGCTGGACATAGGCCATGGTATGTTATTCAAGATTATAAAAATAATTATTCTACTAGTAGGATTCTAGGTGTAGTACTAGTATAATAACTTTGTGAACCAATAGACTAGGCCTTTGCTTAGCTAGGCCAGTGCAGCACCCTTTTAGGAATTAAATATGGAACATTGTGGTTCCTACACACGAGGGGGTTATATACAAGCCGTAGATGGCCCAGGGTCTGTTTTAGTACCAGAGATCTCTTATCTAGGATACACCAGGTTTCCCGGCTACTAGTACTTGAGACGGCATGCGGTTTTTTAGTCAGTTTGAGTCCGACATTATGAACTCATCGCACCATTTCTGTACCGACATAACCATTTCCGCACAGTAAAAAAGGCCTTTGCTGAGACTTGCATCTACATTTATAGTCACTGCTTCACTATGGGTCATAGTGTGATACGGGTCAATAGTCAATAACATTCTTCAAGATAGGGTTATTAAATGTAAAAGTAATTTTTGAATCTTCTTCATTTACAGAATCTTCAATGAAATCTACAATCACCAAAGTATGTCATCATATTGACTCCATCACCAAATACTTGACACCATTGCTGCCAATTGCGAATTGCCATATGGTGGAGTTTCTAACGCTGAACCATTGGGAAAAACTTCTACCTGCGAGTTTGAGAGACTCTCTTAATGGTGAAGACCTGAATGTTTCACTAAATAACTATTGGAGCAGCTTTGAACAGACAAACCAAGGTAAGATTTGATCATAACTAGGACTTATCACAACTTAGTAAAATTGAATGCATGAAAACATTTTTGGGTTAAAAATCACGTCCACGTTGGAGAGCCATGCTACGGCTTAACATATCGACCGATTCTATCAGAACGATAATGGTGCGGTTTTTTGTATGGCCATCTCACAAAAAACCAGTGTTAGGCAATTTTTCACTGTGGAGCATGGTAGGCCCTATGGCCTAAAACAGTAGTTTGTGTATATGTAATGTAAAATAGTTTTCTTGTAATTTCAGAGAAAACAGCTCTCTCCAGTTGGATACAGACAGCCCAATCACATTGTATAAAAGTGAATAATGAATACTGTTTGTCTACTGAAAAATTACAAGAACATATCAAAGCATGGGGTGGTGATATAGCGCCTGAGGTCAAGATCAAGGAGTTTATGACAAGCAAGAAGAGTTATGAGGTACTGCTATTTATATAGGTATATGGAAAATGATGCTCAGTTTTTTTTTAAAGACAACTTCCACACTAGGAATAAATCTTGTGTCACGGGGGACTTTACAAACATACATGAAACGGACACAAAGGTCACCCAGACTCAGAATAACATTGTGGATCACACAAGTGTTGTCCCATCTGGGGATTGAACCCACAACACCCAGCATAGTAGGAAGTGGCGAGGAGACCGCTTAAACCACTACACCATACGTGTGTGGAGTGTCACCACCCCTATTCATACCGTATGTGTCGTAAGAGATGACTAAGTGAGCAATCTATTTAGGACATCAGCACTGCAAATGGAAGAAAACTTGACACAAATCTGAAACCAATCCGTCTGGCCAGCGTGGTATAGTAGGCCTATGTCCAGCAGTGGACTATGAAAGGCTGTCGATGATGATGATACATACATTTATAAATGTAAAAATAGGTAAAGATAACAAACTCCTTTGGTCGATTACTACACTACTAGTTTGTTTATGAGAAGTTAAGCCTAGGGTGTGGTCAGGTGCAGCGCATGTCGCGGCTGGTGTCGTCGCTGGGCGGGGCGAGTGGGGCGAGTGGGGTGAGTGGGGGGCGCGGGGCGGCGGGGGCGCGGTGCTGCGTGGAGGCGGGCGGCGGGCGCGGGGCGCTGGGCGCGGCGCTGAGCCTGGCGCACGGCGCGCGCTGCCTGTCGCTGGACTGCGACGCGCGCGCCGCTACCGAGGCTGCCCACAGGATCCACGTCATACAGGCAAATACACTTTTGTCCTACAATTTTAATGAATTTATCGAATCATGTAATTCAAGGTTGGAACAGACAACGGGCAAAGTGACATCAATCGGCTGAGTAAAACTTGAGATCTGTATCCATAGCTATGTAAGCGGAAGTAACCACAAATAATCAATATCCGTTTCCGTGGAAATACATTTTTAACTATCTGGCACATCACTAGTCATGACTACTCATAATTTAAAATATAAATTAGTTATTTTAATCAGTAATTTAATATCATTATCGTTTTTACAGAAACAATGGCATACGATAGCCAAGCGTGTGAATAACGGCTCCGAGAAGTCTATAAGCGAAGGGATCAACAAGAATTTACATCGTTTTGCGACAGCATTTATCACTAAAGACACGGACCTATCTGCTCTTGTAAAAGAGACCTTTCCAGAATACGCAAACGACGACGTACGAATACTCTTGACAGGTATGAAAACATGCTCTAGTCAGCTATGTAATCTCTTTTTTATATGAAGGGGTTTTATCATTTATCAAATAATATGACTATTTTCTGTACCTATAATAGGCACGCTTCAACATGAGTATAAACTCACTAGTGGCTACTGTTCTTTAGTACAGTTTTAAAGAGTTGAGAGCATGCACCACGGAGTGTCAAAAGCCTGTTCATCTCGTGAGTGTCGTAAGAGTCGACTCAGGGAACAAACTACGCAAGACAATAGCACTGCAAAAGAGAAGGAAAACTTGAAACAAACCCTATGCCAACCTGTCTGACCAGCGTAGTATATTGGGCTAAAACCTACTTTCTAACTTGTTGATGATGATGACATTTAACATGTTGACCAAAACTTAGGTACAATTAATGCTTGCCATAAGTCTAAGACTTTGATCTGGAACGGCGCTCTATGTGTATTTTTATTATTTTCTGAACGTGGGTCTAGATCGCCCTAAAACTGAGGAAGACCCATGGTTCGGTACATTTAGGTCATTAGGACCGGAGTGGTACCACGTCCCGACATAAAACTGGTGTTAAGCAATCCTTCGATGCTGAGGTTTCAGTAGACCCACCACTCTCCTCCTCCAAAAAATGAGGCAACGTACTTGCGTCTTTTGAATTTCCTTTTTTTTTCTAAAAGAGACAACTGCCGCATTCGATATATATCCTGTGTCGCGGGGGACTTTACAAACATACATGAAACGGACACAAAGAACACCCAGACTCTGAACAACAATTTGTGGATCACACAAACTGTCGTCCCATGTGGGGATCGAACTCACAACACTCAGCGTAGTAGGAAGCGGTGTGGCGAACACTTAAACCACTACGCCATCAGGGGACCCGTGTGCTTGAATGCCCCCATACCATGAAAAAAACGCTGCCAATTTCCAACTCTACATAGGATCGTCTATCGTTACTTATAAAGATCGTTAGTCATTGTTTTAAGCTGAATAAGCCTAGACTGATAATTGGTCTAGGCTTATTCACCTCATTAAAATCCTTCCATTGCTAACTTATTATTTTATACCATTGCAGGTCTCCACACTTGTGGCAACCTAGGTCCAGATTCCTTGCGTATATTCACAACCCAGCCATCTGTAGCTGCCTTGTTTAATGTGCCTTGCTGTTATCACCTGCTCACGGAGACGGTTGATGACAGTGTGTTTGACGTCTTCCAAAGAGATCACGGGAGTGGGGAGGAAAGCAGTCAAGGTTTCCCTATGTCTGATTATTTGCGAGGTAATCATTTTTTAAATTCAACGGGCCTGTTGTGTGGTTAGTGACCCTGACTGCTAAGCCGGTGATGAGCACGGTCATTTGTTCTGTGTCTGGGTGTAAAGTATCTATAATATGTATGTATTTAGAATTATATAAGTATGTTTATAAGCAGTCTGGTTACCATAGTACAGGCTACAACAAAGTTACTACCTGTACCCTGCCGCTTGGCTGTGACTCTGTGACATATTGTGGTTGCATATATGAGTATATCGTGTAAAAATTTCAGCTCAGTCGGTGAAGATCTTTTAGAGTTTTAGAAGTGTACACAAACACACTTAACATTTTTATATAGATAAAATAAAAAAGTTTCTGTCGGATTGTAAGATTGTACCTATAATTTTTTTAAGTTTGCAACACACAAAACTGCAATCGGGTGACTCTTCATAATTACCTCACCTCTTACATAAATAAAAAATCAGGAAAATTTGACAAATGACAATCTACACAACGACCTCGGCATCACCACTGTAAGGGAGGAAATATCTGACAGGACCAGGACCTACAGAGACCGGATAAGCAAACATCCAAACTTACTAGCAGTTAGCCTGATGAATACGCAGACAACCACTAGAAGGCTGAAGAAAAGGCTTCCTCAAGATCTCATATGATTGAGAAATAGAGAACAGCGGATGAGTTAATGGACAGAATCCGTACAAGTCATACCAACACACACAACAATTGCTGAATATCTCAAATGATAGATTGCAATAAAATAAAAAAATAAAATAAAAAAAAAAACATATTCTGAAAATATTTGAATCCATTTCATAATGTTACGTGTTTCAATTTAATACGACAATTTATATGTCTACAGGAAAGTAACGACAGAGAAAAGTTAACGGTTAGAAAATTCAATGTGTAACCCAACCAATGGCTTTTATACACAAATATATAATTATTGTAAATATTACAGGATATAACTTGGGACGTAACGCAAGAATGTTAGCAGCCCAGTCAATAGACAGAGTTGTCAATCAGCGACAATTGCCCTCGAAGAGTCTTCTCTACAGAGCGTTATTGCAGGTATAAAAATAGGATAGTTTCTAGTTGTGAAAATAAATAAGTTTAACTTAAGTATGACATATAACTAAAAAAAACTATATCCGTTACTATTTTCAAGTTTCATAGCATTTATTTAATGTTAAATTAAAAGTTATTTTTTGGCAACAGTTAGTTTTGACGGTACTCATTATTTAAAAAAAAAAACTATTGGTGACATTTTTGACGTTTAATAATAATTTGAAATTGTCAAAGTGCCTTATTAGTACACCAACTTTAGTTGCTCACACAATTATTTAATTCTTTTTGATATTACTTAAGATTCTATTGGATTTATACTATTCTAATACCAACCTAATATATTCATTGGATAAGTACCATTTCTATTTTATGAAATATCTTTAACTGACTTCGAAAGGAAGATATCAATTCGATTTAATTGTTTTTTTCCGTTTATTACCTCATAACTGATGTATAGTGGATGTTTTATATTTCCCGTTTGGTCCCATTTTAATTTGATTAGTATTAACTTAGGAAGAATTCAGTTTATTACCATTTATTGTTGAAGTCGAACCTGGCTCAAAATGTATTAAAAACTATTTGAATTTGAAAAGCACTACCTTAGTGGGTCCTAAAAGGTTTTATAGGGTTTTCTGAGAAGAAAAATAGCCTAAATTACTCCTTATATAGACAGCTACCTGGTATTAAAATATTATCAAAATCAGTCAAGTGGTTTAGAAGTTGACCCGTGACAAACAAAATAAAACTGGATTTTAGGTTTATAGCGTGCAAATAAACGTGTAAGCATGAAAAAAATATTATTTTGACATTAGATACAGACACTTTAATTTATTTATTTGTATAGATGTATTTCGCATCACATCAACAGCCTTTAATAGTCACTGCTGGACATAGGCCTCTGCTTAGAGAGGAAAAAATATATCTTTATAGTCGGAATTATTATAGTGCTGCAATCTTTTAGCCTACCTTATGTTACTATGTTCAATTAGTATTTTGTTATGGGTTCGATCTCAGTCGCAGCATCTTTTTTAAAATACCTTTAATTTTTATGGATTAGGGGGCAAACGAGAAGACGGGTCACCTAATGGCAAGCGACTACCGCCGCCCATGAACGCCTGCAACTCAGGAGTCACAAGCGCGTTGCCAGCCTTTGAGGAAAGAGTACCCTCTTTTCTTCTCTTTTCTTTTTTTTATTTGTGTATTAGGTAAATTTATTTACAATAAAGTGAGTTAGGTATTGATAGCTAAGTATGTATTAATATTTACAGTTTAGTATTGTATAGACTGCAGGTCTCCACGCCGCTTCCTACTACGCCGGGTGTTGTGGGTTCGAATCCCACATGGGACGACACTTTGTGTGATCCACAATTGTTGTTCTGAGTCTGGGTGTTCTTTGTGTCCGTTTTATGTATGTTTGTAAAGTTCCCCGCGACGCAGGATATATTCCTAGTGCGTGAGTTGTCTTTAACAAAAAAATTAGAAAAAATATATATAGTATATATTTCTTTTCAGGCAATAATCAAAAAACATCTTCCCAATCAATTAGTATCGGAAGGAAAACTCAAAAGGATCACAAAAAAAAAGCGAAAACTTTCAACAATATTTCAAAATGGCGGACGATATTTTGAAATTAGAACTTTTTGACAGAATGTCTGACAGTTTCTTCACAGATATAAAAAAGACAATGGATTGCGACTGGAAAAAAACTTGTGTTATTTTATTTAATTAGGTTGTGCTTAGCGCAAGTGATAGAAGGTTTAATTTTATTGGACAGACTTATGTTTTTGTTTGAAAATGGATTTGATAACGTTTATTTGGTTAAACTGTTTGATCCGGTTATATCGCCGAGGTGTCACAGCATTGTGGCTGTACGATAGCAATAAGAGATACGAAGGTATAACTAAGAATAATAATTGTAATATTTTTTTTGTAAACATGTCATCATGTCATATGTTTTACACAGTTTCAATAAAATAATGTTTTATATCTATAATTTTGTTTTATTCCAATTAACACTTACGTATGCTGTCGTATAAGACACCTGTTTGATATATAGTGGGCCCACGAGTAGACAGGTTACCTGATGGACAATGACACCCGCCACTCCATTTCAGGTGGGGGGGGGGGGGTACCGGCAAACCTCGAAAAGCAACGAACGAAATGCTTACATCAACAGCCTTTAATAATCCACTGCTGGACATAAGCCTCTCCTTAGAAAGGAGGTTATGACCTACTATACCACGCTGGCCAGACGGGTTGGTATAGGGTTTGTGTCAAGTTTTCCTTCTCTCTGCAGTGCTGTTGTTCTGCGTAGTTTGTTCCCTGAGTCGGCTCTTACGACACCCACGGGATGAATAGGGATGGTGACACTCTGTATTCTTAATCCGTCACCACACGGACCTAACGAAATGCTTAGTACAGGTTTTCTCCGTGGTATTACTCCGCTACAACTTTTAACAATTATTATGGTGACAGAACTTTAAAAAAACGGTCAGGTACGAGTCAAACTAGTGCACCGAGAGTTCCGTACCTACTCAGATTTTACGTAAATTTTCGCGAAAATTTGTAAGTAACAAAACTTATCTTAATTTTCACGTCTTTTTCATGTTCGTCTACCGTATAAAAATATCGTGCGAAAGTCTATATTTTCGATTAAGAACAGTGCTTAATGTCAATTTTATTACAAGTTTTGTCTATTTTAACATTGTCACCTTGTTGTTTTAACATTGTTAGAGTGTGTTCATGGTAGGCAGCGTAAGATGCATTATGTGAGTCAGGGAATACATACGAGTATAATAGCGGAATGAAAAACAAGAAAATCCTTCTTAAAAAAAGTTTAACCGACTTCAAACAATACTAACAAACAGCACTAAAAACTTAGCAGCAATCGCGGTTGATTTGCTGTCATTTTTTGAAGAGTTCCGTTGTCTGTCCTCGTCTATGACTCGTCATCAGATCTATATGAAATTTAAATGGGACCATTATGGAACAAACCTCTTTGGAACAAAAAAAGAATTTTGAAAATGCGTCTATATATGACAGAGTAATATACGAACGTACATAAAAAAATATAAACATCCTAATTGAAAACTTCCTCCGTTTTGAAGTCGGTTAAAAAATAGAGCCCCTGTTAAGGGGGAGGGATAATTCAAAATGCGGCAACGCAGTTCTCTTTCTTGCGTTGCACGTTTCGTTGGGCGGAGCTACCTACTACTGACCAAACATCGTTCTAAGCATAAATTCCATACTAATATAATAAATAAATACGAAAGTATGTCTGTCTGTCTGGTGCCCCTTCACGCTTAAACCGCTGAACCGATATAAATGAAATTTAGTATAGGGATATTTTGAGTCCCCGGAAAGGATATAGGATAGTTTTTATCCCAGAAATGATCCTTCAAGGGTGTCAAAAGAGCGGTGTGAGTTTGTATGGAGAATCAATAACCGCTGTACCGATTTAGATTAAATTTGGTATGAAGATAGTTTGATTCTTGAGGAAGGATATAGGCTACTATTTACTGCGATAACGGACATACACGCGGGCGGACATAAATACTTGTAAAAACGTATCACCGATATGAATGCGTCTACATTTTGTTGAATTATAATGAACACTATTACCTCCGTAAAGTCACGCCTTAGAGGTTGTATTGAAGCTTCAAATGGAATAATATACTCGTAACAAACTGTTCGCCTAGTCACAATGAGAACATAATATTACGGATAAAAATGGATAACTGATATTTCATGCTGCATGTTATCTTTCCAATTCGTTAATTCAGTTGTTTGGTTTTCATCAGTATTAGTTTGCCGCCCATTTGTTTTACCGAAGCGTGGGAGCTGTACTTTTCGAAAAAGTGTTAACAGTTTATTTTAACGTCACTCAGATTATCGGATGAACAAATATAATACGTTTTGCAAAGGCAGGGTCATCAAGATTGTGTAGGGGTTCTAAAATCGATGTTATATTGAGAAACTCCTCCTTAAAGTTGGGTAAAATATTACCATTATTGTAGTACGGATTAAGTTTTCATTCAATCAATTTTGAAGCGAAATGATGTTTAAAACTTGCTTCGTAGAGTAAAATTGCTCTCATTTGTAAAATTCAAAACTATCAGAGATAGAGCTAAAGTAAATAGATTCGTACCAACATACGTATAAAAAATATACATACCGACTAGACATTACCACTACCTATGGATTTTTAAAATCAGATTTTGAACTCTCGCTTTAACTGCGTTGCGTGCTTTTATGAAAACATAAAATAAGTTACTTTGTCATTTACAAAACTTCGTTTAAAATTTGTAAAACAAAATAGTTTTTGCTAAATCGTACCGTTTACAAATAAAATGTAAACGTAAACAAAAACAAACATGGGCTTCCCACACAAGAATATTCTAAAGTTTTAAATTATAACAGCATAATCTTGTACCGAAAATGTTTAATGAGCCAAGTAGGCGGTATGACTGGAGTAAAGTCTGAAATGCTCCTAGTGATTCCTTTATTAAACTGTCCACCCCCGAGATTTCTCCACAAAAATAAATAGTGCTAGTCTACCTAAATACCAAGTGTTAATGCTCTATTAATAATTAACGATAAGGTAAGAAGTGATCGTCATTGTAATATATTTTTGGTATCCTTAATGTCCTACATAATTGTTCTTCTTAATGTCTTAAATATTTGTGAAGTTAAATACAGCTTTGACTTCATTGACTATGAGTGTGAACGTTATCAATTATTACTTTATACGTTGGGAGAATACATTAAAGAAATAATATTTTTTAAATAAATGTAATATTCATATATATCTCTTTACCCTTCGCAAAATTGCAAAAACAATCCGGATAACAACAAGAACCAAACACTGGCACAACCTTACGACTAAAGAAATCGATGTTCTGAAATATTTGTGTATACATATTTAATAACGTAAGCTTTGCCCGTGAGCAATCAAACATTACGCGGAGATGACAGAACCTGTAACTGGTTTGTGTACATCGTTATATTGTGCATTTAAATGATCTACATGGTATCACCAAATCCGCAAGCTCGAAATCAGGATGGCCACCAACAGTCTTTCCTTCAAAGTAAAAGTAAAGCAGTTTCTGGTCAAACAACAGGCAGAATCCACTTACTCGTGATTTTTTATTATGAAAATAGTTATCAGTATCTGTTTGCGTATGTATTTATATATGTTTTTGTACTGTATTTATGTATTGTACTGTATGTACTTATGTGTAATATGTTTAGGTGTAGTATACGTCAGGTATTGTACGGTGTATATATGTGATTTTCATAAAGTATATAATTTCTGGTTTAAAATTTATTGTAACCAAAATGCACCTACTTCCTGTTTTCTCTGCATCGCCCAATGGTTGCCTGGTAAAGAATGTCTTAGACATTAAGTCCGGCAATACACCAAATGTGCATGATGTATAAATAAACAAAATTTTACTTTAATGTAAAGCCTCAATGTATTCAAGATGTTCTTCCTAGAAGAACATTTTCACTATTGCTCTGTATCCGATTACTGCTCGATTGGTAATGGGCTTACCTTTTTAGCTAAGTTTTTTTAAAGCAAAAGTGTTTGTTGAGACTTTTCTTACTCATGTGGATTTAATCTTAAGGAAAAAAACTTCATGAATAGTGTGGTGCTCAGTGGTGAGCTATCTTCTTTTTACATGGAACACGTGAAACAAAAAGAAGGTCAGTAGTCTATGTGCGTACGTACGTGAGAGAGGACGGGAATATTTGCATTAGTGCCGTCTTTGATCTTTTTCCAAGCTACGTGTGAATCGTCGAAAGAAAGTCTATCCAAAGTTTTTAAATTCTTTTTTTTTAATGGCACAGGGTAAACAAGCAGGGGAGACACTTGATAAGTGATTACCGACGCCCATGGACAATTGCAATTCCAGAGTCATAAGTACGTTGTTTTTTTTTTGGACCAACTCCCGTATTATTTAATGAGTATATCCTGTGTCGCGGGAGACTTTACAAACATACAAGAAACGGACACAAAGAACACCCAGACTCAGAACAACAATTTGTGGATCTCACAGTGTCGTCCCATGTGGTGATCGAACCCACAACACTCAGTAGAATAGTAAGCGCCGTGATCACTAAAGCTTTCAATTGTATAAAAATTGGGAATCTTATAAAACAAACAAATGTGTGTGTGTGTGTTAACATTCTAAATTTCATGCTGCTAATATTCCCTTTAATAAAAGAAGGCACCTATTTATGACGAAACTAAGTGATGACATCCCACTCTCAAACGCATGTCGGGGGATCAATAAGCCACTTATATAAATTATGTATGTACCCTGGTACCTTTATACCTCTTCATCCTTGAGCTTAGAATTGCTCTTTACATTTAACTTGAGTAATGAGATCGGTTTTCACTCACTTTGGTGATAAAATTGTTTTTACCGGCGTCGTATTCTTCAAGAAAAGTTTTTTTAGATATCTTGATACCTGAACCTCGTACATGCGTTGAAAAGTAGGCACGAAGTATGTTAAGGATAAAATAAAATACCTTCATGACTTTCTACTAGGTAGTATCGTCAACGTCTTTGACATTTTTCTAACTTCATCACGACCTTTGAGCACGTGTAAAATGCGATTAGTTTTAATGTATTTTTTTA